CATGCACCCTTTCCCCCCTCTATAAGATTCCCTCTATAGCTGAATGATTGTATTTAACATTGTGTATTTGCCTTATATTAGAAGCTCTTTCTTATATTATGAGATATTCTTCAAAATGAGATGTGTTTTTTAATGGTTTCATGACATTACATTGTATGAAGGTAGCATCATTTATTCAATGATTCCCTTATCTTAGCAATGTTAAACCTATTAAAATATTTAAAGCTAATATAACACATACTTTTCAGTGAATATACTTTATTACTAATGGGTTAGATTTTAGTGGGAACATATATATGTATTGCCAATGTATCAGTCAGCTCGATCTACATAACAAATCATCATAGACATTCCCACTGTGCCCACGCATGGCAGAGAAAGAGAGAGGATGCAAGCTCTCTGGTATCTCTTCTTATAAAGGCACGAATCCCACCAAGAAGGCCCACCCTCATGACCTTGCCTAAACTGAATTACCTCCCAAAGGCCCCTTTTCCAAATACCATCATATTGGAGATTAGGGTTTGAACATATGAATTTGTGTGGGGGGGGGGGGGGGGGGATGGTTTGGAGGAAAGGACACAATTCAGTCCATAGCAGCCAATAATGAGAACTATTTCAGAAACTATTTGTTTTTACCTGAGTGACATTTTTAAAACTGGAAGCTAGAATTCTTCTCATTCTATCTGTGGGTAAGATTATATGGAAATTTCATAGAAAAAGTAAAAATTACTATTGCTTATTCATCCTGGAATCTGTAGCTAAATTATACATTATTGGAATAAAGTGGAACCCTGAAATTGCTGCAATGATTGTACTATCCCATTCCATGAATGGTCGTAGTCCCAGACAACTGTAAATGACTCTTAGTGTCTTTTAAAATAGTTTATGAAAAGAAACATTAGGGAGTTTCCTTTTCTTATGTGGAAATAGTAGCCAATTTTATAGATGATTATGATCCCTTACTGTAAAATTAGTCTCATTCTCTCTATAAGTAAATTATGCAGTGCTAAGGAAGCCTTACCATCTTATAGTGCTTTATATTTTTCAAAAAAGCTTTATGTAACATTATTCTAAAAATTTCAAAGATAGGTTGATCTTTTAACAACGTCACTAGAATAGAATAAATATGATCTTTCTTTAACATTGAGAAACGTGAAGCTTGGAGAAATTATTTCACTTCGGGTCTTAATCCAGTTTGTATCACTTTTGCTAATTCAAGTCATATATGCAATGTGTTGAAAGAACATAGAACATTTACATTACCTTGGTCTGAGAAACTGATTAATCAGAGAAAGATACTATGGTTACCTTTGCAATTATGTAGAAAAGTGAACAGTTAGAGGATACTACCTTTAATAAAGGTCCACTTGAAAATTTATATATAGCATTCTTTTTTTAAAATATATTTTTATTGATTTCAGAGAGAGGAAGGGAGAGGGAGAGAGAGAGAAAAACATCAATGATGAGAGAGAATCATGGATTGGCTGCCTCCTGCATGTCCCCCACTGGGGATCAAGCCTGCAACCCGGACATGTGACCTCCTGGTTCCTAGGTCGACGCTCATCCACTGAGCCACGCTGGCTGGGCTATAGCATTTTTATTTTAATATAATATAATTAAATAGTGATGTATTTCAAAAGGTCATTTACAAAAGCACTACTGATTTTTATTGTTTGGCACCCTTTTATTGTTACTTTTTATGTTTTTAGAAATTTAACATTTTTTATGGAAGAAATATTAATATATGACTGCTATGATATTGTATTTCTTTTATATAATACACTTTAAAATCATATAATTGGTTTTTCCAGTGTGTGAGTTGTAGTGGTCTAGTAAACAGAGTTGATGCAAATTGAGATTTTAAAATTTATTTTTGGCGACCAGTTTTATCTGATACGATGGCTTGTCTATGTATAGATCAGAACAGAAGTCGGTAATAAGGTCTTTGCCACAACTACTCAGTTCTGCTGTTAGAGTGGGAAAGTAGCTGTAGGCAACACAGTAGTCCCCCTTACCAGTTTCCTTTTCTGAGATTTCAGTTACCTATGGTTAACCAAGTCCGGAAATAATAAATGGAAATAAATAATTCATAAGTTTTAAATTATGCGCCACTGTGAGTAGCCTGATGAAATCTCGTGTCGTCCCGTCCCACTCCAGGCTGTCTGGGATGTGCATCATCCCTTTGTCCAGTTCAATTATGCGCCACTGTGAGTAGCCTGATGAAATCTCGTCCCGTCCCACTCCAAGCTGTCCGGGATGTGCATCATCCCTTTGTCCAGTTTATCCTCACTGTACATCCGGCACCATAAATTATTTTGAGAGAGAGACCACATTCACACAATGTTTATTACAGTCTATTATTATAATTGTTCTATGTTATTATTGTTGTTAATCTCTTACTATGCCCAATTTATAAATTAAACTTTATCATAGGTAGGTATGTATAGGAAAAAACATTGTGTATATGGGGTTCAGGACTATCTGCAGTTTCAGGCACCCACTGGGGGTCTTGGAATGTATTTCCTGTGGATAAGAGGGCGCCGCTGTACATAAACGGATGGGCATAGCCGTGCTCTGATACGGCGTCATTTCAGAGCAGCAGCAGCAGCCATAGTTTGCCTACAAGCTGTAGCTCGCTGACCCCTGCATTAGAATCTAAAGTGAAATAGAGCTTCTCACCATAATGTTTCCCTCTTATTTGTCAGATGTTTTGGTTCCTTTTCTTAAATTATTCTTTCTAACTTAGTGCTATAATTCCTACTTCCGTCCTTTTTAATTTCACCTTTTATTACTTTTATTCACACTTGTGTGTACTACTGTGCTTTTTATACCATCAGCTACATTTCCAGGCTCTTTAAAATCCTTACACAACTTTCCAGCCTGTTTTCAAGACTCCCCGCCTCCCCCCAATATTAAATTATTCTAACATTTATTGAGTTTCAGGGATGAGTGTTGTTAAGGGAATGGAAGTGCTGGATGTAAAGATAGACTAGACTCCCATGGGTTTGGATGGTCTTGGGTGGTCTGGCGAGACTTATTAAAGGATGCAGGACTTGAGCTGACTCTTGAAAGACTGGGGTGAAATTAAATATTAGAAAAAAAGAAAAGTATTTCAATAAATTACTGACAAGGGAAAGCTCATATATTGCTTCCCTCCCACATTTTATCACCAATTAGATGGAATTCCACCATGGACTGATCCTTTCCAAGATCATTACGTTGAGCAAAGTGCTGACGGTGTGACTTGTTTTCTCTGGAGATTCCATCGCTTTGGGTGGTCACTTTCCCCTCCATGTGCTTACTGAATATATAGGCGATGCACACAGACCAGGGGCCCAGACCAGCTCTGCTCTGGGCATTCTGTCACACGGATTTCTCTCCGGCCGGCCGGCCGGCCTGTGTTTTCATAGTGTCCCTGTCTTTTCTGGCCATCAACATGGTAGGCAGGTCTGACTCTGGAGAGGGAATAGGAAGCTGTGCAATGTTCCAGGATTTATAAATGTGCAAGTGAAAGGAGTCCTCCACGGGGACCTGTGTTAGCTCACTAGGGACATAACTTGGGATTTGGAATTACGGTAATTAAAGAAAGATAAAGACTATAAATAAGCATTTATTTCCCTTCTGTGCATCTATCTTCCTGTGGACCTCGGAGGAGAAAGACAGATGGGGGTCCTGTCATTCCTCAGTGTCTTTACCTTTGGCCTGAGTAGATCTCACAGAATAGTTACAGCAGGCCAAGCGAGGGCACGGACAGGGGGCTGGGTCTGCAGCAAAGCCCTGTGGGGAGAGGCCTGCAGTGCGCCTTCCTTCTGCAGGTGCAGCTGTGGGCCCAGCAGGTGACAGCCCGGATCAGCAGTAGGATCAGAGCTACCAGGATAATGTGAAGAGCCAGGTAGTCTGTCTAATTGCCTCGGGTTACATAAGCACATTCTCTACCAAAACCGCAAGGCTTTTGCATCTTAATTGCAGTGACTGCTGTTTGGTGCTGGGACTCATTTCTAAAGCCAGAGTCAGAGCACATTAAAATGAGCAGAGCCCCAGGACACTGCCTTTTCGCTTCTGGGTTATTGGATTGTGTGTTCACTCCTTTTTTCTTCAGAAGACAGTGGACACATCTCTAAGCCTTAAATAACAGTCATGAAGAGTGCGCTGTTGGACCGCAGTGGTGTGATGGAGGGTGTCAGGGAACAAAGAGGAAGGGAAATGTTACTATAAAGGGAACAGATTGTCATTTGGAATGAAGGTTGGGGATGCCTCAAAGGAATCATTAAGACCCAGGACTAAAATGGAAATAAAGGCCTGTACCCAGAACACTTGGCTGTAGGAAACCGCCTGGCTTGGGGGCAGAGGGAAAATGAGGCGATGAGTCAAACTACAGCACTTGATATGTGAGCAGAAAAGTACTAATTAGAATTTCTAAGGAGATCCCTGGGGAGAGGAGAGGATCTGGCTTTAAAAACCTTTGGGAATTAGAAAAGGAAATTTCTAAATTTCAAATGTATTGGATATAAACAGGCGAAAGAGGCCTTTGGGAAGGTTTAGGGCCCAGAGCCTCCACTCATGCAAAGCCTCCCTCTAGGCCACCAGTGGAGGGCAGAGACTTTCCATGAGGTTTTCTCCCGATCCCACCACCGCCCCCAGGAAGCTAGGCTGGGCCATAGGAAAACTCCCTTCTCATAGATCAGGTGGCCTCCTTTGTCTCTTTCCTCCTCACTGTTTTATTTGTAGTAAAACAGTCTTAATTTTGAGTGTTTTAAAGTCCTAATTAAAAAGTCTTCAGATGCATATTTTAGGATTGTTCTAAGGAAACAATTTGCTAAGTAAATCAATCTATGAGTTCAAAAACAATGCATGACGTTTCAGTATGTAATATTTATCAGTCAGTATGAAGTGCATAGAAAATTATCAATCAGAATGAAAGAATTAACTTCAGGTTAGAAAAAGAAAGAAATAAAAGTGAGATAAGCAAAAAAATAAAGTGTACGTTCACTGAAATTTTCTCCTTTCTTTTTTCAAACCACGCAGGTAATATATGCTCTGAACACGAAAAATGATGAGCATGAATCTGCGATTCAAGCCCTCAAAGATGCTCACGAAGAAGAAATCCAACAAATTTTTGCTGAAACTAGAGAAAAAATACTACAGTATAAAAGCAAGGTGACAGAGGAGTCAGACCTTAAGAGAAAGATCCAGGTCTTAGAAGCATCCTTAGAGGATCACATGAAAATGAAGCAGCAGGCGTTGGCCGAATTTGAAGCTTACAAGCACAGGGTCGAGGACATGCAGCTTTGTGCAGAAGCCCAGCACGTCCAACGCATAGTAACCATGTCCAGGGAGGTTGAAGAGATTAGAAGGAAGTTTGAAGAAAGATTACGGAGTTTTGGGCAACTCCAAGTACAGTTTGAAAAAGACAAAAGGTTGGCATTGGAAGATTTGCGGACTGCTCACCGACAGGAGATCCAGGAGCTGCTGAAGTCACAGCAGGATCACAGTGCCTCGCAGGAGAAGGCGGGGGACCTGCAGGGAGTAGAGGCGGAGACCCTAAACAAAACCCTGGAAGAGCTAAAACTGGAACAGAAGAGGCTAATTGAGGATTATGAAGGCAAGTTGAATAAAGCTCAGTCCTTTTATGAACATGAGCTTGATACCTTGAAAAGATCACAGCTTTTCACAGCAGAAAGCCTGCAGGCTAGCAAAGAAAAGGAAGCCGAGCTTAGAAAAGAATTTCAGGCACAAGAAGCAGTTTTACGAAAAACCATAGGGAAATTAAGGACAGAGTTACAGATGGTACAGGATGAAGCTGGAAGTCTCCGTGACAAATGCCAAAAGCTTCAGAAGGCCCTTGTTACAGCGGAGAACAGTGTTCAGGTGAGTGGAGAATGTTATTTCCAACACCAGGATTTCCCCCCCGATTTCCTTTTTCTTTTCTATGAGAATACTTCAACTTTTTTTTTCCATTTTGCTTTTTTCTGTTCCTTTGTGGGAAAAATCAATAAAGGGGTCATTTTTGCTACTCTGTAGTTATTACTATTTCCTACTAGAGCTTCAGGGCCCAAAAGGCCTGAAAAGATATTAAAGGTCCAAACAATGATTTTAAATCTTGCTCAGTGTTTTCTATAAAAGGGTTTTATTTAAATAACATGTTCATATTTTCCATAAGTGCTTTGGGGCTGTTAAAATATTGGGCTCTGAGTTTACTTGTGTTCTCTTTTCCCTTCATTAAAAATGTTTATAAGTGTCACCCACCAAAACAGATTTAAAACTTGGTACTGCTAAGTGTGACTTTTGAATAAGAAGTTGTTGATGCTGCCTGGCCGGTGTGGCTAAGTGGTTGAGTCTCAACCAGGAACCAAGAGGTCAGGGCACATGCCTGGGTTGCAGGCTCCATCCCCAATAAAGGGCATGTGGGAGGCAGCCATTTGATGATTCTCTCTCATCACTGATGCTTATACCTCTCTCTCCCTCTCCCTTCCTCTCTCTGAAATCAATAAAAACATATTTTTTTTAAAAAAGAAGTTGTTGATGCTTATAATTTAATTATTTAGCTTAGCATCATTCTGGCATATTAGTAATGGCTACTTGATCTTTCTTAGGGTCTTCAGAAACAGCTTGACGATGCCAAGCAGGGAGAGATGGCTTTGTTAAGCAAGCACAAGGAAGTGGAAAGTGAGCTGGCAGCAGCCAGAGAGCGTTTGCAACAGCAAGCTTCCGACCTTGTCCTCAAAGCCAGTATGTCTGACCCTCGTCCTTGGTGTATTCCTCAGCAAAAACTAACACTTAAATGTTGATTCAAGACAAAATTCTTCTAATGTTTTGAAATTATTTAGAGTCTATGTTAAAGGACTCTCATATTTTATTCATTAGTCACCAATAAGCAAATGTCAACTTAGTTTTAGAAATGGATATTTTTATAGAAAAATTAAGAGTTAGCAATTGTTAAAGCACCCGTAAGCCAGACACTAAAATAAAAATTCAGTTCAAGCCCTGGCCGGCATGGCTCAGGTGGTTGAGTGTGTCACATGCCTCAAAGAATCACTAGTTAAATTCCTGGTCAGGAGGCAACCTATTGATGTTTCTCTCTCTCCTCTCTCTCTTCTCTCTCTCTCTCTCTCTCTCTCTCTTTCTCTCTCTCTCTTTCTCTCCCTCCCTCTCTTTAAAACCAATTATAAAACATTTTTTAAAAAATGCACTCTAAGAGGGTTTGTCTATTAAAAACATGTATTGTAAAGTATGTAAATTAGTGGAACGATATGTAACTTACAGCACCATCATTTTTACTTATTAATAAGGATCATTTTATGTACTGAAGCTGAGTTGCCCCTTCTGACGTGGCTGTAGTGCTCATTTCCTAGTCCTTATCAGAGGAGGAGGTGACCCATGTCAGTTCTGAAGTTATATTTTGCCTGAGTGTTTAGTGGGCCAGGTGAAACCATTTGAACTAGTTCTTTGCAGATGTTGCCTGATTTAATGGTTCATCAGTGAATCCCAGATTACCCTTTCCCAAAGTAACCGTTTTTTAACCTAGCATGTATAGAAATCATCAGGAGGGCATGTACAACCTCAGATGCTGGGCCCTAGCCCAGAGTCTCTGATGCAGTAGTGCTGGGGCAGGGGGGAGGGGGGGAGTGAGTTCCAGGTGCTGCTGGTGCAGGGTGCCTTGAGATCTGCCTCAACACATGCTTTTCCATACTTTTTTTTTTTTTAATCTCACTCACTCTTTAAAATTTCTTATTAAAGTTATTGGGGTAGCATTCGTTAATAACATTATATAAGTTTCAAGTGTTTAGTTCTATAATACATCATCTGTGTACTGCATTGTGTGTTCACAACCCAAAGTCTGCCTCTGCCACCATATATTTGACCCCCTTTAACCTCTTCATTCTCCTCTCACCCCCTTCCCCTCTGGTAACCACCCTCCTGTTGTCCGTGAGTGTGTACATTTAATACCTTTCTAACAAGCTACGTGCAAATTGTGCTCAAACAGTCACACTCACTTTTCATCTCTCTCCCCATCCCCCGCCCCTTTTTTCTTTACTGTTGTCATTTCACTTTTTCATAACATTGCTGTCTTTATCTGTCTTCTACTCCGCCTTAGTTCTTTATCTGGTGTCTTGTCTAAAACAAATTCCGTTTCAATCAAACTGCTGTCTGCTGTCCTTACTCCCTGAATACAGATTTCTTCTTCTTCATGCTAGAATTTGGAAAAAGAAGATATTAGAAAAAACAGATTACTCGTTCTGGTGCCATAATCTTGGCACATCCTCCTTCACTTTGTTTCACCCCCAATACTTTTATTCCCATCCCTGAGGAGTTGCTTCTGCTTCACTTTGTATAACTTGAAATCTTAAAAAAGTAAGTGGTATAGTCCTGGGTGCAGGGAGCAATATCAGTGCACTTCTTTCTAATTTTTAACATTTTCTACTTGGGTATGAAGTATTCCCATGGCAAATATTTCAATTTTATTTAGTGAAGACATAAAAAAACTATGTGTACATGCAGACCATTGACTTCACTTAGGTATCAAACACAATTGTGTCAATATAGACTGTTTTATACCACAGTGCAACAGATTTTACATTGGAGCGTTTTTCTTTTGGGGGAGTAGGTCATATTGGAATGCTTCAAGCAACTCAAATGAACCAGGAGGTTACAATTAAAGATCTAGAATCAGAAAAATCAAGGACCAGTGAGAGATTATCTCAGCTTGAAGAAGAAAGATCTTTTTTGCAAAGCAAAACTCTGAGTCTGGATGAAGAGCAGAAGCAGCAGATCCTGGAACTGGAGAAGGTAAAATGAATGGAGGACCCCCTTCCCCAGGGAAGGAGAGGAAGAAAAGTTCAGTTTTCCTCTTTTCAGTCTATTTCTTCACTCTAGTAATTTTGTTCCAGGAAAGAAGGTATAAATCTATACTATCCCATTTGTGTATTTATTCAAAATATTGTCAGTAACAATTTATAATGTAAAAACAAAGACATGTAAACCGATTTCAAACTGAATAGACTCTGATTTGACTGAAATGTACATCTGTGGTTAATTGTATTTGGTTTGCTAGGGATGAAACGTATTACCACATATATACCTAGGAAATTTCTATAAAACCAAAAAGGATGCCAAACATCGAGCTCTGAACATTCATATATCAACATATTGAATTTCTAGACTAAACAAGTAAGACATCTCATTTGTAGAGTAGTTCTGAATATGTATCCCAATTTTTCAGATACCTACAATACCAAGTGGGAGTCCTGGGCACTCTTTTTCCTTCCCTCAACAACCACGCATATTGGAAAATATCTGTCCTTGTCCCCGGCTCACCTCCATTCACTCCTTCCCCGTGTGCAGTCTGGTTTCTCTTCCTACCACCACACAGAATCTGCATTGGCCGCAACCTGCAGTGGCATCCTGGTTGCTGGGCTTGGCAGAGCGTGTCTTCCCGCGGTACTTACTCCTCTCTGATGCACATTGCCTCTCTTTGGGTGTTTCACGCTCTCTCGTGTGTTCTTCCTGTCTCCTGGCCTTGCAGGCTTGTTTGTGAGCTTCCCTTCTCTGTTTGTTCCCTTACCAGTGATGTTCTCTAGCATTTTCATCTCCTTCTACACGCTCATCAACTTCAGTAACATCAGCGACAGCTCCCAACTCTGTTGGTCTAAGTCAGATCTTTTCCCTGAACTTGAATCCTGTGTATCTAACTCCCACTATATCTCACAAACGTATCAAGTCACCATGCCTAGAACTTTGTCCCCTCAAAAGGACAAGTAGCACTACAGTCTTTCTAATTTGGTAAATCAGAACCCTGGGAGTCATTTTGATTACTGTTTCCTTAACCCCCTTATCTGTTACCAAGGCCCGTCGGTTCTACTCCCTCAATGTATTTTTATTCCATCCTCTCCTCTTCATACCCATTCAATGATGCTAGATTTAGGCACCTGTCATTTCTTGTCTGGATTACGGTTACAACCTCCTACCCACTCTTCCTGCCTTGAGTCAGCTCACTAGCCTTCTGCCAAGATGATTGCTTTTGAAAATATATCATTTAATTAAATTTCAATGACTTCTCATTCCTGTCAGAATAATATTCAGAGTTCTTAGCAGAGAATACCCTTTATCATTTGACTCCTGCCTACTTCTGAGCCTCATTCCTGACCACTCCCAGCCTTATATCTTATGTTCTGTCCACACCTAAACGTTGCCACCTGCTTAACTACCTCTCATCTTTCAAAATGCTACAAATGGTTATAAATGCAAGCTTTTGACATCAGATCTAGGTTTGAAATTTTCTCATCTCTAGTTTCCTGATGGGCTTGTAAGAATGTAAAGGAGAGAACATGTAATCATCATCAGCTCAAATGTTTCCTCTTCTGAAAAGCTTGCCCTGTTCTCTCTCTCTCTCCCCCCCCCCTACACACACACACACACACACACACACACACACACACACACACTTCCCCACCTACCAGGTTAGGCTCCTTTCTTGTATAATCTTACAACATGCGATGCACACTTCTGCCATAGAACTTATGCAGTTATATCACCACTATCTTTTGATTTTTTGTCATTAGACTGTGAATGTGTAAAGGCATATAATTGGCACTCAATAAAATTATATTGAGTAAATGTCATTTGAATGGGTAATGTACATTTTATGTACAACTTTGACATATAGGACGCCTTTCTCTCGTCAGTGTGCAGATGTGCTAATTCACATTTGGTTCTAACCTACTAATAGTCTATTTTATCACTTGCTTTAAAGTTATTTTGCCTGTGCCACCCTGTCATTTTCTCAGAACACCAGTGGGGTGTATATTATTCTCACGTTCCATAGTCTGAATCCCATGGCACTCAATTCATTCGAGTTCACCTATTTACTGAGTATTCAGAATACTAATAGCAGTGATGAAAAAAGCAGATGCCAATTATTGATGTTTATTTGTTTTAATTTTAGAAAGTAAATGAAGCAAATAAAACTCAGCAAGAATATTATGAGTTGGAGCTAAAAAACCTGCAAAATAGATTGGAAGGGGAGGTGGCTCAATTAAATGAGGCCCATTCTAAGACTTTGGAAGAATTGGCTTGGAAGCACCATATGGCAATTGAGGCTGTCCACAGTAATGCAAGCAGGGATAAGAAAAAACTGCAAATGGTGAGTAAACATGCAATTTAGGATGGCATTTAAATCCGTGGCGTTCCTGTAATGACCCAATGTGACCTATGCTGTGGAGTAATGAGTTGCTTCATTTTGATGGCCGCTGTCTTGTAATCACTCTGTAAATCTTGGTTCAAAGAATAACGTACATAAGAGCTCTTGATGTGGGATGCAGCTTACTAAGCTGATACGAGGCATTTCTATTTTGTATAAGCCATAATAGAAATACCCCTTGGACCTCGAGCTTTCTCTTCATGAGACAGCAACTTAGGTGTGCTCCTCAGGAAGCCTCAGCCAGTTGAAGCGCCTCCCTCTCTGTAGTCTTCTTCCCTGGGAAAATGATTTGTTTTGCTTCCCCACAATGAAGTACTCAGCTTGCTAATAGTAATGCATTGACAGACAGTGTTGCACAGTAGAAAAAGCAAGGTGTCTGACACATCTGGGCCTTGCACTGAGCCCTGTGCTTCCTAACTGCCTGAACTTGGGCCCCCAATGCTATGCTTCAGGCTCCTCATCTGACAAAGATAAGACCCATCTTATAATGTTCCTGTGAGGGTGAAGTGAGTAATCGGGAATAGGACTCAGTAGGAAATCATGAGATTTCATCACACTGTTCAGGACAGTGCACAATTTAAAACTGAATTGTTCTGGAATTTTCTATTTCATCTTGGACTGTGGTTGAATACAGGTAACAAACCACAGAAAGCAAAACCGAAGATAAGGGAGGATTACTGTATGTTTTCCTTTGTAACTCTAATTTCCCCACCCATTTGAAAGTAAATAAGTAAATAAGCAGAGAATCCATGCAGAAAAGAGTTAACTCAGGCCTGACACTGCCATCCTTACAAAGGCATGTGCGACTGGCCCTGGCGCGTATCTGGGAACTTGAATTTTTGGAGGGTTCCCACCACTCCCTGAGAAGCCTGGCTCACTGTGCCTGAACTGTTTATGCAAACAATATGGTTTGTGCTGAACATCTGCTTTCCTTCTCAGAGGCTGGGAATTTGGTACATGCTAGTCAGGGTGTGCCTGCCTGCCTGAGCACTAGTCTCTGTGCCCTTTCCTGGGGGTGATATTCCGCACGTGTGCTCACAGCTTGCTGGAGAGTCCTGTGTGAGAGGGCTTCGGAAGCTCGGCCTGGTTTCCTGCGCTTTGACCCACGTGCCTTTTCCCTTTGATGATTCTGTTCCCTATACTTTTGCTGTCTTCCTAGCTGTGAGTGTGACTTCATGCTGAGTCCTGTGAGTCACCTCAGCAAATCATCTTGGGGACTCTCGACACAGAACCCCATTTTCTACTCTTCTCACCTTACTTCTATAAAGTATTAAACTACTTTCGTACCTCCGGGGTTTTTTGCGCATGCTTTTTCTTCTGCCTAAATGTGATATTTCCCTCTTGCTCCACCACCTTTTCTGACTGGTGCACTCCTTCAGAATGTACTCAGAAATTGCTTTCTCCATGCAGGTGTCCTCACTAAGCCAGAGCTAGTTCCCCATCCGTAGACTCCAGTACTTCCCATTGCGTCAGATTTTAATCACATATTCTTTAATTGCCTGATACCATGATCTTATTAAAGGCAGGCACCATGTCTCATTGCATTTGTATCCCAGGTACTAAATACACGCCTGGCAAATAGTAGGTGTTCTTCCCTAAGTATCAGTTTTACTGGTATTGTTCTTTAGATGTCTTGACTCTATACTTGTTCATTTTTCACTATGTCCCAGTCTAGCACTGAGTTCCAGAGTGTTATTGGATTTTGTAACAATGTAAAATGAAAGAATTCTGTATTCAAGAGACAGAATTTTTCTTTATCTCATCAAATTATCATTTTATATGACATACTTGTGTGTGTGTGTGTGTGTGTGTGTGTGTGTGTGTGTTTGTGTGTGTGTGTGTGTTTACTGCATCTTGAACTAGAACAAATATTCTTATCATTTAAAAAATTATTTAACCCTAGCCTGTTTGGCCTAGTGGATAGAGCGTCGACCTGCAGACTGAAGGGTCCCAGGTTCAATTCCAGTCAAGGGCATGTACCTCGGTTGCAGGCTCCTCTCCGGCCCAGGCCCTGGTTGGGGCACATGCTGGAGGCAACCAATCGATGTGTTTCTCTCACATCGTATTTCTATCTTTCCCTCTCTCTTCCACTCTCTAAAAATCAATGGAAAAATATCCCCAGGTAAGGATTAAAACAAAATTATTTAACTGCTACATCATAAGTTATTCAGAATGATATAATTTAAGCCCCCAGGATTAATTTGATTCACTATTAATTTTGATATTAATTATGGGTAAGGCTAATTTGGAGAATAAATTTTCAAAATATAAACTGAATAGTTTTTTTTTCTTGGAAACCTTTGAAGTATACAATATTTGAAATTTTGTTAATTTTTTAAACTTTCTTTTTCTTAAGGAATTGGAGGAACAATATGAAAAGGAGAAACTAAACCTAGAAGAGGATAAAAGTCAGCTTCAACAAGAGCTAGAAAACCTGAAGAAAGAACTGGAAGACAAGCTGAAAACAGCCAATCAAGAGGCAAGAATTCTATAGACCTGTCACCTGTGTTAGGTTTTCATGACAAAACCTTGTTTGATAACATTGTATAAAGTAGGTGAGCTTCAGCGAAAGTAACATCTAGAGTAAAAATAATCAAAAAATGATGCTGAATTATTCATAATACACTGGTTACGTCTCACCAGGTAAAAATTGACTATCAAAAACATGAGACACAAGGTGCTTTGGGAGGGAAAAGCAAAACAAAGGAGAATATCACTGTATAGGAAAGAAAACAAAGGAGGTTTCCCTACTCTTTTGCAAAACATTGACTTACTGTTCTCTACTCTGACTCCATTTAAAAAAGACTTTCCAGCCCTAGCTGGTTTGGCTCAGTGGATAGAGCTTCGGCTTGCGGACTGAAGGGTTTGATTCTGGTCAAGGGCATGTACCTCGGTTACAGGCTCCTCCCCAGCTGGGGCCCTGGTCAGGGCGCTTGCAGGAGGCAACCAGTTGATTTGTTTCTCTCTCATTGATATTTCTCTCTGTCTTTCCCTCTCTCTTCCACTCTCTCTAAAAAATCAATGGGAAAATATCCTCCGGTTGAGGATTAAAAAATTTTTTTTAAAAATATATTTTATTGGTTTTTTACAGAGAAGAAGGGAGAGGAATAGAGAGTTAGAAACATCGATGAGAGAGAAACATCGATCAGCCGCCTCCTGCACACTCCCCACTGGGGACGTGCCCGCAACCAAAGTACATACCCTTGACCGGAATTGAACCTGGGACCCTTGAGTCCGCAGGCTGACGCTCTATCCATTGAGCCAAACCGGTTAGGGCTAAAAAATTTTTTTAAATAAATAAATAAAAAAGACTTTCCAAGTTCTAGATAGTGACATCTAAATTAATTTTAAAATTCTATACAAAACTAGAAAAGTCTAAGAATAGAACAGGATAAAAGTCTTAAAACCAAAAAGTTGTGAGTAGAATAAATGCAAACAAAATGTAGATTCATAATATTGTGTATTTCATCCCTTTTTCTCTTTTGCCTTGGTTCAGCTGTGCCCTAGAACAGCCTTGCTACTGTCCTCTTTTCCTTCATTCCAGTTAATCCTTCCTGTGGACTGTGGACTGACATTTCTACAGGTTCTTGTCTTGGCCATTCTTGTCTTGTCAGCTGTCCCTACCTCACTAGAGTCTTCTTTACCAGTAGTTTTTAAGTCCGGCTTTCTCATCACTCTGCTTCCACTCACAGAAACCGCGCCAAAATACACAAGTGCCCATGGGAAGGCTAATACTTGCACTCGGGATTCTTTAATTATATTTAAACACTTATCCAGAGGAAAAATCATTTGGGAATGACAGAGAATTAAGATTCTTGTTGGTATGATTAACTCAGCCTCTCTTCTGGTGTCCTAGAATCCACCGCTGGCTCCAAATCTGCAGACCTCTCTTGGCAGAACGCAGTCTTTGTAGTGATGGTGTCCCACTCGCATTAGAAGGCAGTGTAGTGACCATCTGTGTTTCTCACGCAGGCCCCCCGGAGTTCTGCTCTCAGTTCTAAATGGCTTCAGTGTTCTCCAAGCCTACATACTCTGAGCTCACTAAGCAGAGTTCTAATAACCCTGTAATTGATTTTCCTTTTTATTGCATTTGCAGTTATATTTTAGCACCCTCATAATGTTTTTGTGCCATGTTGGACTGGCTCCTCAAGAATCTGCCTGGATCATTTCTCCATATGCACTTACTTTTCTTCAGCCTGGGACATCTATTTTTTATGTTATTACTAGAAGCCTAGTGCATGAATTCGTGCATGGGTGAGGTGCCTCAGCCTGGACAGCAATTGGGGCGATTGGGGCCACGGGAGGTTGGCTAGTGGGGGGAGGGGCTACAGGAGGTTGGCCAGTGGGGGGAGGGGCAGCGGGAGGTTGGCCACCCTAATGGGAGTCATAGGGCTGGCCAGCTGGGTGAGGGGAGGTTGGCTGTGGGAGCGCACTGACCACCAGGGGGCAGCTTCTGCATTGAGCGCCTGCCCTCTAGTGGTCAGTGCGTGTCATAGTGATTGGTTGATTGGTCGCTTAGGCTTTTATATAGAGAGATTATTATTATTATTTTTGGTCCTTTGTTCCTGACTAGGCTCTCCAGAGATAATAAACTTTAAGTATTATTATTTTGTTTCCTGCCCTTAAAGTAAAGGATATCAACATTCCACAGTTAATTATGACACTTCTCTAAAGTTTTGTTTTATAAATTATCTTTATCAGGTTTAGGAACTCTCTTGTAATTCTAGCTTCTTAATTAAAAAAACTCACAAACTGATGTTGATTTTTCTGTATATATTGGCTCATACTTTTTACTAGTAATTTATTAATGTGGTACCTTATATTAATAAATTCTCTAATATTAT